GTCATAGGGCAACATTTGTAGTAACTGTTAAATGAGAAACGATTTTGTTCTGTAAGCCTTCATCTTAACTGAGAATAACAGCACAATTGAAAGAGCGTAGTCAGTGTCACTGAACTGTGCGTGTAGAAATTTTTGAAACGGTGTATCTTTGGCTATCTGTATTTTCACCAAAAAAAAGGTTGAGAAGTTAGATGGTTGACGTGTTGTGGGGTTGTTAACCAATGTCATAAAGCAATATGTATACTACTGTTTCATAAGAAACTATTTGTTCTGTAAGCCTTCCCTGAAGTACAATAAAAAAAAAAAAAAAACTGTTCCTTATGATTAGTAACTAAAGGCATGCTGATGCGTTTCAGCACTCTTGCCCGACTTCCTGTAGACTGATCATCTGGTCTGAGATAGCATTTAAATATAAGGATTAAATTGGCTAAAGTCACTGTACCCAGGGTTTTGGGGAAACACATAGAGCACACTTCCCCCAGTCGAGGGAAGAGTTTCCTGAAGAAGGTGTCTCCTGGCCCAAGAGTCTCCTGTGGACTGAAACCAGCCTCTATTGTTGCTGGGTGGAAAATTCCATTAGAAACTGTATCTGCTAACATGTACACTGGACCGTGTGTATAGTGGTAATCACTGGCAGCTCACTTGTGCTTTGGACTTCCAAAGCCATTGTTAACTAATAAAGCTTACTTAGTGCATTCTGTTGACAGAATCAATGCTGTTGCTTATTTTTAACTCCATATAATCAACAGACTAGAGAATGGAGATAATAGGAGCCCTTTAATCCAAACAAATTCTTTTTGCCTCAGCCCCTGGAAACGTATGAGCTCAGAGGAGAAGCTTTTGGATAAAGGGTTTCTGCTCGCCTCAAGGGGACTCAGAGTCATCCTGAGAATGTGGGCCACACTCAGTCTAGAGGGAGAGAACCAGGCAGGAGAGGAAGTGCTGCTCTGCCGCGGAGAGACACTCAGAATGTGCATGTGTGGGCGGTACAAGCACTCCCACTACAGCCTACTGCAAGCTACCAGCATGAAGTCACTGAGCACAAAGTTGGAAAGAGATATGCAGTAGATAGCAGTATATATTTCACCATATATATGTATACACACACACACACACACACACACATATATATAGTGTATATGTAGTACAAAGGAGCCTTGGTGGTACAATGGTTAAGCGCTCGGCTACCAAACAAAATGTTGGCAGTTCGTACCCCCCGCCCCCCAGCGACTCCATGGGAGAAAGACCCGACGATCTGTTTCTGTAAAGATTACAGCCTAGAAAACCCGATGGGGCAGTTCTGCTCTGTCACCTGGACCCACAACAAATTGAAAATTGACTCGATGGCACATAACAACAACATATGTAGTATGTGTGTATATATACATATATATATATATATATGGAAGCCCTGGTGGTGTAGTGGTTAAGAGCTACGGCTGCTAACTAAAAGGTCAGCAGCTCGAATCCACCAGGCGCTCCCTTGGAAACCCTATGGGGCAGTTCTACTCTGTCCTATAGGATCACTATGAGTTAGAGTCAACTTGACGGCAACGGGTTTGGTTTTGGTTTGGTATATACATATATATACACACCATATAGATATAATAGATATAAATAACTTCAAGAGCACAGAAGCAGTAACATGTAGTAAAATAATTAGGAAGTGATGTATTTTGAGTATTTATTGCCTTTGTTTTTAATAACTTATTTAATTGCATGTTTACATAATTTAATTTTTAATAATGGCTTTAACAACTGACTCACAAAATTCCTGAGAATTTAACGATTGGCCCTTGTGTGCCACCCAGGCCAGCT